ATTAGCCACAGTGAACATCACATCTCCACTCGTGAACCTTCAGTGATTAACACGACAGCTTCTGTGTGAGTTTAACCGTCAAATGGACACTTAACCAGCAAATAATCAATTAACTCCCAGCTGGGAACCATAAATCGAGACCTGCAGCCCTCTGACCTGCAGGATCTTTCTTCTTTCAGCCGTCCTGCAACACATCCCCGCTAATGGAGGCACATTGTGCACTGACAGCCCCTCTGAATATTTTATTCAGCCGCTTTGACGCTAACAGGGACTGAAGGGATGTAACAGGAAGAGAGGGAGAAGCTAAAAACATGCCTCTCATCCACCAAAAATAAGAAATCCTGCTGGAATATTACAGTTTTCTGCTGCAAATCAGAATTTAAACGCCATCAGAATCAGTGGTTTGGCAGCTGATCACACAGATCTGATGGAGGCAATCAGTGGAACCGCTGAGTAACAAAAAGTGAGGCTGCAGAGATGACGCCAGCTGGGATTGAAGGTTTTGGGATTCTGTAGGTTTAAGAAGTTCCAAAGGAGGTTTTCAAGTGTTGCATAAGAATGAATCATTTCTTTAATCCGACTGATAGCAGCGTTCGATGAACTCCTCTCTGCTCCTGATGCCAAACCTTCGATTATAGAGATCTGAGCAATCATTTCCCCAAAGACGCCCACATCAGAGACACTCTCACATGTCAGATTAGCTGCAGAGTTCAGGAAACAGCGAAACATTTGCATTTTAAACAAATCTTCGAAGCTGCCTTGTGTTTAAATGGCAGAGCTTCATGTGATGGAGACACACCACCCTCTGCTGTGCATGAAGCTGCATCACACGTTCAGCTTTGGTGCAAATCTCAAGCATATAAAAGCTCAGAAAAGCTCAGAGATGTAGTCAGATAGAACTTCCAGGCCACAGGAATCCCCCAGATATCAGATTAGAGATTTATTGCCAAAGCAGCGAGTTAGAAAAAAGCTGCCATGAGAAGAACATGACATTGTTAGTTAGAGTTTTACAAATAAAGTTTAGCTGTAAGTCCTGTAAAAATCTGGCAGCATGGGCGAGAAAAAAATATGTATAAAAAAAATAGCAGAATAATGTGACATAAAAAACTGTAAAAACAGTCAACATACTGGCTAATATCTGTCAAACCAATAATTTTGAGGACCTACAATCAGGGGAAAAATGTGTAATTTTACAGTCAAATGTTGTAAAAGAAAAAAAAAATCTAATTTGTAAGAGTATTTTTTTTTTTTACAGTTTTTTTTTTTTTTACAGCTAAGATGTAAATCAATACTTTCTTCTGAGATTTTACTACAAATACTTACTAATACTATTACTAATGATTATTTGAAGAAAATCTGTAAAATCACAGTTTAAAAAATTCTAACATTCACTAATATACATAATCTTTCTTTCACATATTTGGAAAATGTTTTTTGTTGTTGAATTAAACGGGGACGGCTGTGGCTCAGGTGGTAGAGCGGGTTGGTCATTAATCGGGAGGTGAGCGGTTTGATTCCACCCTGTAACCTGTGTCATGGTCGTTGTGTCCTTGGGCAAGACACTCCACCCACTTTGCCTGATGTGAATGCGTATGAATGGATTGTGTGAGGTGGCGGTCAGAGGGGCAGAATGGCAGCCACGCCTCTGTCAGTCTGCCCCAGGGCAGCTGTGGCTACACCTGTAGCTACCACCACCAGAATGAATGTGTGTGAATGAATAATTGACAGTGTAAAGCGTCTTTAAGTGTCTAGAAAAGCGCGACATAAATCTGATCTACTATTAGCACTGTATTATTAAATACAGTGAAAGATTTGTGCAATCTTATAGTCAAAGACTGT